GGGGGGGGGTGTCTCCACCCCAGAGGGGCTTTGCTGGAGTCCAGCAAGGACACGTCCCTGTCAGGATGGGGATTACCCAGAGCTGAGCTGGGATTAGCACACTGAAGCTGTGCTAAGCCTTGTTTTGGTGGGGCTGGTGTCTTGGGGTCATTAGGGACAGCCCCACCCATCCCCCATCACATCCAGTACCACAGGGACCTCCCTGAGACCCCCCCCACTGTCCCCTCTCCCGCCGCAGGACTGTGGATTTCCTGATGGATTCCAGCCTCCGCAAGCTTTACGGGACACCAGGAGAGCCCCCGACACCCCACTGAGCCCCTCCAGCCCTGCACACGCTGGGAAACCGAGGCACTGCTGTGACCCACCTACTGTGACCCCTCGCTCCAGTGATGACCCCGGGGCGGCTGCTCTGCCCCACACTGGTCCTAATAAACCATTTCAAACGTGAGCCCTGCTGGGTGATGCTCAGGTGCCACCACAGCTGGGCCGGAGCCGTGCGCCCTCCTGGGAGGACACGTGGGTCTACTGGGACCCAACCCATCTTGGGGATCTCCACCCTGGGACAGGGGGTCTTCACCTGCCCAGAGCAGCCCTGATGGCCCCACCATGTAGCCCCTCCATCTCTCCACAGCCTCATGGGACATCCTGCAGACTGTCACCCTAAGGAGCTGCCACCATGGCCATGGTATCCAGGGACCCAAAATCCCCCCAGCTTCAGCACCACAGCCTGGGACTGTGCCACCACACCTGGAAGTCACATCTCCAGGTACCCGGAGGAACCTGGAGCAGATATGGCTTGTCAGTGCAGTGGCACGTCCCCATCCCATGGTGGCATCCACACACTACCACCAGGAGAAGCTGTAGAGAAAACAAAGCCATGTTTATTGTGGAGAAAGGGGGTCTGGTCCCACCTCACCCCGTTTCCCTGTCTCCCTGAGGACCAGGGCCCCCACCACGCTCTGCAGCTCAGCCTGGAAGGGAGACCTCTGCCTCGGTGGCCGCTGTCCCCGCCGGCGCGTGCCCAGGCGCCAGGTGGTCAGGGCCAGCCCCAGCAGCCCCCCCACCGCGGCGACCACCACCACGGCACTGCCCACCAGGGCCAGCCCGGCCAGCAGGAACCTCTTCATGGTGTGGCATGGCCCTGGGGACAGCAGAAAACACACCAGTGGGGGGGTCACTGGGTGGTCCAGCACTTGGGGAGGGAGGTTTGGGGACATGGGAGAGGGTTGGGGTGTCCCTCACCTTCGTACCACGGCACCTTCTCCTTCTGCACTAGCACTGGTCCAACTGTCTCCCGGTGGAGTGTCCCCTCACCTGGGAATGCTGTGGGAGGACATGGCAAATACAGCCCATCCCAGGCCCACGAGCTCCTCCCAAGACCCCAGAACAACGTGGAGTCACGGTGTCCCACCCCCGCTACCTGGCAGGTGTCCTGGGAGGGTGTCACCGCGGGGACAGCTGGTGTCACAGCAGTGGCACTGGGCACTCCGGGAAGGGTCCTCTGCGTTGTGCCAGCTGGGGGAGAGGACAGAGCTGGGAGGATGGTCTAGGGGTTCCCATACTCCAGCACAAGACCCACATGGTGCCACCCCAGAGAAGGTGTCCTCTGGGTGACTCCAAACACCTCCCTAATTCATCTGCACTGTGAGGGTGCTTGGACCTGTGGTGATGCCACCAGCTGCCATCAGAGAAGAGGTGGCATCCAGCCTGCAGTGGGGTGACCTGGTTGCCCCCCAGGTGGGTCCCCGTGACCAGTGGGTTCTGCTCCCAACACACCCACGAGTGCTCCAGCACCCAGCGTACCTGGCCGTGGTGTGGCTGTAGAAGCAGGACCTGATGGCGTGTCCTTGTCCCCACGCTGTCAGCAAGCAGTGCACGTAGACCTGCCAGGACACCCCCCTGCTGTGTCCTTCCTTGGAGACCCTGCTCTCCTCCCCTCCAATCCCAGGGGGGCTGAGACCATGCCAGCAGGGAGCTGGATGCCTCAGGAAGGAGCTGGATGCCACAGGAGGGGCAGTGCTTAGGGAATCCCAGGTCGTCCCCCTCCATGGGACCTCCATCCCACTATGTCCTTCCTTCCTCAGGGACCCTGCTCTCCTCCCGCTCCACCCTATGGGGCTGAGACCACCCCAATGCCCCTGGCAAGGCAGTGCTTTGGGACCCCCAGGTCATCCCCCTCCGTGGGACCTCCATCCCACCATGTCCTTCCTTGGGGACTTCACTCTCTTCCCACCCAACCTTCCTCCAAGACCACCCCAGCAGAGACAGTGCTTTGGGACCCCCAGGTCATCCCCCTCCATGGGACCTCCACCCCACCACGAGGGCATCTCCCTGACCTCACCTCCTCCTCCTCAGTCTCACCCTCCAGCATGGGGGCCAGGATGGAGAGCTGGAGGGCAGACTCCCCTCTCCAGTGCTGGACAGACACACTTCCCAGCTTCTCCCCGTGCAGGCATCTGTGGCAGGGGAATGACAGGGACATTTCCTGGCTGTCTCCAGGCCCTGGACAACCCCCTCCCATCAGGAGGCCGTGCAGGACCACAGGGTGCCTGTAGAAGAAGGGGTCCCCACTTCCCACCCCACCAGCACTGACCCCTGGCTGTTCACCACCATAAAGACCCTCCTGGAACGTCCTGGCTGCTCCACGATGGTCCCATAGCACTGGTCCACGTGGATCTTCATGGAGAAGCTGGGACTGAAGTGGACACTGGCTTCCAGATGGATGGCAGAGCTGGGGCTTAGCACCAGTGGCTGCCCCGTGGCACTGGGGTCCCCTGAGGGGAGTGTGGGTTCAGTGTGACACCCCCAAACCTGTCCCAGCAGAGACAGGGACACCAGGCACATCCCAGATCACCCCCCACCAGTGTCTTGGCCTCCATCCCTGCAGCTCCCCCATTTCAGAGCCCCCCATCCCTGGAAGCCAAGGGCTGTCTTGGCTCTGTCCCCCCAGCCTGGCTCCCCTGCTCTCCAGAGCTGCAGCACCTTCCTGGACCCCCCCATGGAGCTGAGAGGGACCATGTCAGGCCCCATCAGGGTCAGAGCTGACCCCCAAAATCCCGTTGTTGTATCAGACCCAGGATTAGGAACATCTTAAAGCCCTGCCATCCAAAGCTCTACACCCTCCACAAGATGGAGGGAGCTCCTGCAGGGACAGGCACCTTCTCCTGGTGGTCCTAATGCTGAGGCCAGCCAGGAGAACCCACTGGGTGCTGCTGATTGAACCCAGGGGTCTTGGCTGGACCCATCCCATGGTCTACCCCCAAAGGTTGTCCCCCATGACCCCCAAAGCACTCACCATCCAGGAGCCTCAGGGTGAAGTTCATGATGGGCTCCTCAGAGCTGGGGTGAGGAGGAACCTCCCACGTCCCCGTGTTTGAGGACACCACCGGAGCTGTCACCATGTGACTGGGGGGCTCTGAGGTAGCTGGAACCACAGTGGTCCCTGCAGCAAAGGGAGGGCTAAGCCAGCAGCAGCATGTCCCAGACACAGCAGGGACACCCAGGTCCTCAGGTGTCCCCAGGACTCGTGGGGGGCAGGTGACAGCAGCATAAAGGTGGGCAGAGCACCCAGGAGCCCATCAGGGGCTCCTCCATGCCGAGGCAGGATGGAGCAGTCCCAGCACTTGACCGGGGCTGGGGACAGACCAGGAGCTGCTCATGGGGTGGGGAGACCACTGCCAGCAGCCACAGACCCCACTGGAGCCTTTGCTACCCTTCCCAAGCCTCCCAGACCTGCTGGGACCTGAGGGAGCTCCCAGCAGGCCCCTTGTCCCAGCCACACATCCCCAAAGCTTGGGGTCATTTCAGGAAGGCTCCTCTCCACCAGGACAACCTGCACCAGCAGGTCCAGGTGACCAGCACAGGGCAAAGCCAAGGGCACCCACCACCCACCTCCCCAGCACAACCAGTGGGGGGACCGAGGGTGTTCCCAGCCCCACTCACCTGCCACCCCCAGCACAGCCCCGCACAGCAGCACCAACCAGCACAGCTCCATCCCCAGTGAGCAGCAACCCCCACCCCACCACCTGGGAGTCTTTAAGGACCAGGGCTGGGTGCCAATGGGCCCCAGCTGGCACTGATGGGTTTGGGGGCTTTGTTGACCCTCTCTGCAGTCAGCAGCAGCCCTACACCTGGGGCTGCTCCTACCCCTCACACCTTCCCAGTCCCACCACAGGGGTCTGTGCCCACTGCCCAGTTCCTGTTCTGTCCCACAGTCCCACTCTCACCACTCAGACTGATCCTGCAGGTGGTCCTGAGCATGGCCCCATATCCACCAGTTAGTCCTGGCCCCATATCCACCAGTTAGTCCTGGTCCCACATCCACCAATCAGTCCCATTCCCATGTGTGGTGCAGGTTCCACCATGTAGTTGTGGTCCTGGCCCTCAGCAAGGTTCAGATCCCACCATGTTGTCCCATCCCCAGTTAGTCCTGGTCCTGTGCATGGTGCTGGTCCCACCATGTAGTTTTAGTCCTGGACATGGTGCTGGTTCAGACAGTTTGCCCTGGTCCCAGTTCACCACATGGTCTGGTCTGATCACTCAACCTTGGTTCCGTGGATGTTCCTGGTCCCATCTCCATGGTCCTACATGAGGTCCTAGCGTCACCACAGTTTTGATGCCATTGTCATGATCCCACGGATAATCCCAGTCCCACCACAGAGTCCCAGTCCCCAGTGCCCCATCCTTGTCCCATCATGATCCTGCTCTCAGCTCTGCAGGACAGGGAGCCCATCTGGGAGCAGCAGTTTGGACCCAACCAGGACAGACACATGTCCCTGTGTCCTGCCTGTCTCAGGTGTCCCCAACACCCTACCACAGCCCCAAAACCCCACCCCACCACAGCCCCTCTGTGTGGGCTGAGCTGGTGGCCTGGGTGCAGAGGGACAGGGAGCGTGTCCATGATGTCCATGGGGACATCACCCCGGGTGGGCTCTGCAGCCAACCTGCCTGGGACGGGGATTTTCCATCCCACATCTGCAGAGGCAACCAGTGGCCAAGGTGGGATTTGGTCCCTGGTGCCAGCAGGAGACCTCAGCATATCATGGGAGACACCTGTGGACCTCTGGGAGGTGTCCTCGGTGCCGTCCCAGTGTCTGTGGGCAGTGTCACACACAGGTGAGTTGGTGGCAGCAGTGGTGGCTGATGCCCCCCATGGCCACCCCTGAAACAGGGTGTACACACCAGCAGCAGAGCTGGAACACGGTGGCTGGAGTGACCTGTGAAGCCAGCAGACCTTCCTGGTGCCACCTGCACACCACGGGAATGTCCCCAGCACCCAGCAGGGACAGCAGGGACAGACCCAGGTGCCCCCCTTGCTCTGGGGGTCTTATGCCTCAGCACTGCCCAGGAGACACAGGTCTGATGGGAGCTAGGATTGACCCCTCAGGAGGAGCAGGGACTGGCAGAGCATCCTGCTGTGGCCTCACACCGGGGCATCCCCACCCCATCCATCCCATCCTGGAGAAGGAGGTGGCTGGAGAGCAGCTGACCAATCCCTACATTAAAAACTGCCAAATACACAATTATCTTACAAAAGTAGAATCGTTTTTTTATTCCTGGTCTTTACAGAAGGAGCCAAACACGGGTGGGAAGCCAGGGGGGTCCCTTCTCTGCAGGGGAGGCTCAGCCACCGGTGCCACCTCCGTGCCCAGCCAGGGCCACTCTCAGCAGGATACAGTGTCACCGGGGTCATCCAGCCCAGCTGGGACACAGGAGGTCTGTCCCCAAGGCAGGGTGGGGACACACCATGGCCTTGGTGTCCCCACCATGCCCGGGATGGCATCACAGGGACAGTGCCCACCACACCCCGCTCCCTGTCTCCTCCCCACACCAGTTCTCACCAGACCCCATCAGCCTTCTGGGATGTCCCCTGTGGGAACCAGGGCCACGGGGCCCTCTAACTGGGATGATGGGGGTCAGGGAGGGGGTGCCCTTTGCCCACAGGGACCTGTTGATAAATGCCAGGGCTTTTGGGATGGGTTTTCCAGGCTCCAAAGGGCTCTGGGTGGCTCTGGGTCATAGCCTGCCATGGCGTGATGGCTGTGGGTGGGCTGAGAATGTGCTGCACTCATCACACCCATGGGCAGCAGGCTCCAACACTCCAGCACCCCAAACCAGGACTCAAAGGGGTAATTTGAGGAGCCCCTGGAGGGTGGAGTTCCCTGTGGGCAGTTCTACCCACCCTGGACAAGGGGGACCCTCTGCCACTGCTGTCCTAGCACATCCCTGCTCACACTGGGCTGCCCCCAGCAAGGTGGGGACAGATGGATGTCCTGCTCCCGCTGTGACAGGGCCACGTCCTTCACAAATACCTCCTCCAGTCTTTCCGTGGGGAAGGAAGAAGGATCCTGCAGGAAAGCACTGTCCCTGAATCCTCAATCCTTGACCCTGTGGGTGGAGGCAGAGTCTCCAGTCTCCAGCCCAAGCTGGGGCTCTGCAGAAAGGTGGTGGAGGGTCCCACTGAAAGTTCCTGGGTGCTGAACCCTCCAGCCAGTTCCAAACCATAAGAACCACGAGTAAGAAAAACAAAAGCACCTGGTTCTTCCCCGGGGGGAGCGCGGCACCCACCAGCCCCTACCACTTGAGGAAGTCCCGTACGTAACTCCATAGCTTGGTGATCCAGAGGTTGGCCCCCAGGTCAGTCAGGTACTGGATTTCGGGCGTCAGCATCTTGCGGCACAGCTTCTGGTGCTTCTTGTTGATCTTCTTCTTCAAGTTGTACCCCAGGATGGTCTTCTCCCCCAGGGGCTGCCAGGGCTGCATGGAGGACTCCTGGATGGCGCTGGCGTCCACGGCGTGCCCCCCATCGATGCAGATGCTCGTCATCTTCTCATTCTCCCTCTGCAGCTCGGCCACGTCCTTGGCCATCCTCTCCCTCCCGTAGGCCTCCACCTTGCGCCAGAAGCTGGCATTGAAGTAGCGGTAGAGCTTGGCGTCGATGAGGTTCCAGGCGGTCGCCTGCTCGTACAGCTCGGGGGTCAGCCGGGACACGGTGGAGCCCTTGCGGGCGTTGAGCTTGAAGTAGAGGACATCCTCCAGCTGCCAGCACAGCAGGTCCTTCAGCAGCACCAGCGACTCATCGAAGTACTCGAGTAACATGACGAGGTGGAAGCGGCGGTCGATCTCGCGGATGTGCTCCTCCACCAGCGGGCTGCCCGCGTCCATGGTGTTGTCGTAGCCCAAGTCAAAGAAGAGGAGGTTTTGGAGGTAGTGAGCGTTGAACCCGTTGGGGTCGTAGTAGTGCCGGGGGTCCCGCAGGAACTCGGCCAGCTTATCCTCCCCCGTTATCTTCCAGGTGAGGGGGATGACGGGCCCGAAGTAGTGGAAGGAGGACTCGAAGAGGTGGGCGGGGTCCCGCAGCACCGTCACGAAGGTGGCGTCGGGCGGCAGCAGCTCACGCACCTCCTCGTAGTGGAAGCGCATGTGGTTGCAGATGATGTTGAAGCAGCGGCCGGGCTGGTAGTGCTGCACTTGGCTGCGCTCGAAGAACGACGGGTAGTAGAAGTCGTTGCGGCCGTTGGGGAAGGCGAATTTCAAGTGATGCTTCTCCCCGAAGCGGAAGAGGATGTTGAGGATGGTGCTGCTGGCAGTCTTGTGGGTCTTCATGAACATGACGTTGAGCTTGGGCTGGCAGCTCCTTCCTGAGGGGCTCCCTGTGCCGTTGGACACCGCCGGAGCCCTGGCAGGGGACAGGCGGGAGGAGCAAGAGGAGGGGACAGGGATCCTGGGGGGAGAAGAGACAGGACTGTGGTGAGGTAAGGGCAGCTCAGCCAGTGCAGCCCCACCGCTGTGAAGGGTCTGGCATATTCTGTCCTGGAGGAGCTGGGTCTGGGAATGGGTGCTGGAAATAGGAATGGGTGCTGGACCTGGGAATGGGTGCTGGACCTGGGAACAGCTGCTGGAGAGGGGTGCTCACCCCTACACCCCAGGCTCCCCACTGAAGACAAGCCCAGCTTCGGGCAGAGCCCCTTCACCCCCAGCCATGTGCCCAGTGGGATCAGGGCACCCACATGACAGAAAAGGGGGGAAAAGGGGAGGAAAGAAGGAGAGAAAGAAGAAGAGGGGGAAAAAGGCAGGGAAAGAAATGCCTGATATCAGATGCACCTCCAAGCCACCAAACCATTCTCATTCACCCCTGGACAACTCGAGCCACTGAGGATGTGTTGTTGTGGTCAGCCCTCACCAGCACCAGAGCACCCTGAGCAGGGGGTCCACACCCCTCTCCACAAGCATGGCCATGGTGGTCCTGGTGCCAAGAAGTGCATCAAGGGGAGCTTTCCATGGCTGTAATTCCATGGAGAGGAGCTGATGACATTCTTATGGCGTCTGAGAGCTCTCAAGGCCTTATGGGATCCATGGAGGAGGTCTGGGAACTCTCAAGGAAGAGGTCTGGGAGCTCTCAAGCCCTTGTAGGAATCATGAACCCCTTGTGGGATCCATGGAGGACCCAGCCCCAGCAAAGAGGGAAACAATTCCAGATCCTGGCCCCACAGATGAGTTCACAGGCCCTTGGGGAGCTTGGGAAGCCATGAGGGGTGTTATCTGAGCTGCCCAGGACAGGGAACAGAGACCACAGTCTCGAGTGACTTTGGACGCCCTTAATGAACTCCTCAAGATGATCTTGATAACGATCCCATGTGACAGCACCAGTCGGCAGCAGGTTTATGAGGCACGTGGATCTTGTTTATAACCTTGAGATAAATTTGATGACAGGAGTCACACTCCTTCTCTTCCCCCTTCCGTCTCCTCTTCCCTCTTCCCTTCTCTTTTCACTCAGGAGCAGTGAGTGCCCCCGGGATGAGCATCCCCAGCCCCCCGCAGAGTTGGGATCCACCTCCCCCCCAACCCTTGGGACAGGGCGCAGCCTCCAGAGGGAAGGGGACATCTTGGTGTGAAGCCACCAGAGCCTGGAAAACCCCAGGACTGTGTCCAGCTGGGGGTTCCAGAGCTGTGGGGGGACACGCAGGGACCCCAGACTCACTCAGTCACGCTGACTTGCAGCGGGGGGCCGGCGTAGGAGTAGAGCAGCAACATGAAGCTGGTCAGGAGGGTCCCCAGGACCAGCCCCTTGCACATGGACCTCCAGGGCTTCCCATGGCACAGCATCCTGGTCACCTGCAGCCAGAAAGGAGCGATGTTGGGGACTGGGAAGAGTGTGAAGAGGCACGTGCGCGTCTTGTGGGCACAACAGCTCCCGGAAAAGCATCTCACTGGTGCCAGGTGTGTCCCAGCCACTGACACAGCAGATCCATGGCCCAGGCCCAGCAGCTCTGCCTGCCTAGCTGACCTTTGCCCGCCCTAGGAAAACCCTGAGTAACTCCCAGGCCTGATGCTGGAGCAGTGGGAGAGGCCGCAGGGCTGGGACTGGGGGAAGGGGGAGCTGGGCCATGGCAGCCCAGGGGCAGAGTGGGGATCCTCAGCCAGGACACCACCAGCACCGGCAGGAGCTTCCCAAGGGCACTGGGATCCATTCTCCGAGGAAAATATCCAGGATGGAGCAGGAGCTGCACCAGCTTGGGATATTTTGGGTGCTGCCACACCCACCCAGAGCAGCTGTGTGGTCTCTCCAGCCTCTCTGGCACCAACAGGGGCCCCTCTGGCCATGGCACCACACCTGGGCTGGCCCTGGGGGGCTGGGGACACGGAGCTGGGGACAGAGGGGTGTGGGGCAGGATGGCACCCCCAAACACACACACACACACAGAGCAGGCCCGTGCACACACCTGCACAGACATCCACCCACGTGTGTGCATGGACACACAGGGACACACATGTGTGCAAACACAGGGACATACACACACCCCTGAGCATGTTCAGGTGTGTGCATGGACACACAGGGGGACACACACCAGAACACACACACACACCTGAGCACGTTCACACGTGTGTGCACACAGGGGCACACGCCTGTGCATGTTCATGCATGTGCAGGCACATACATACACACACAGACGCACTCACAAATCCCTCCCAAGGGCACAGACATGCTCACACATGCACACACAGGGGCATGGACACACATCTGTGCATGTTTACATCTGTGTGCACACACAGGGCACACTCATGCACATACGCCTGTGCACGTTTGTGTATGTCCATGGACACACAGGCACACATGGGACACACACCTGTGCACGTTCGTGTATGTGCATGGACACACAGGCACACATGGGACACACACCTGTGCATGTTCATGTGTGTGCATGGACACACAGGCACACATGGGACACACAGCTGTGCATGTTCGTGTGTGTGCATGGACACACAGGCACACATGGGACACACACCTGTGCACGTTCATGTGTGTGCAGGCACACACAGGGGTACATATCTGTGCATGTTTGTGCGTGTACATGGCACACAGAGATACACACACATGCACAGGTGCACTCATGAATCCCCTCCAAGGGCACAGCCATGCTCACACATGCACACATAGGGGCACACACACATCTGCACATGTTCATGCGTGCGCAGGCGGACACAGACACACACACACATGCACACGGTGCACTCATGAATCCCCTCCAAGGGCACAGACAAGGTCACACGTGCACACATAGGGGCACACACACATCTGCACATGTTCATGCGTGTGCAGGCACACACAGACGCACACACATGCACACGGTGCACTCATGAATCCCCTCCAAGGGCACAGACAAGGTCACACATATACACCCAGGGGCACACACGGGGCACACATCTGGGCATGTTCATGTGTGTGCAGGCACACGCAGGCACATGCATGGCCAAACAGCCACAGGACACATCTCTGCATGTTCATGCATGTGCATGCACACACAAGGGCACACACCTTTGCACGTTCATGCACCCAGATACGCACACAGACACACACACATGAACCCATGAGTGCCCCCAAGGACACAGACACACACACATGTGCACACTGCTGCACACACAGGGGCACACATACACCACAACCCTCATGCGTGCTCATGTGTGCGCGAGGACACACACACCCCAATGCGTGTTCATACACACACACGTGCACACACACACCAGTGCATGTTCATACACACCCCAATGGATGTTCATACACACCCCAGTGTATGTTCATACACACACACATGCACACACCCCCCAATGCATGTTCATACACACCCCAATGCATGTTCATACACACACACATGCACACACACCAGTGCATGTTCATACACACCTCAATGCATGTTCATACACAC